ATCCGTGGAGCACTCGTAGTACGGGAAGGGAGTGACGGTGCACGCTCGCTCACTTGCTGCACCTCCTCCTCTTCTTCCTCTGCATCATTGGCCTCCTCTCCCCCATTCACAAGGGAGGATTGCCTTGTGGTTGTGCTGCCGCTGCTCAGCTCCAAAGGCAGCTCCACATGCTCCAAACCGGAACTCTTCACCTCCCCAAACCGCACGCCTATCTTCGCCTCATTCTCCGCCTTCCAATCCTTGTACATGAAGTTCTCCATGAACTTGCAGTCCCTGCTCACCAAGAACTTCTTGGTGAATGGGTCCCAAAGAAGCCATCCCTTGCTGTTTTGAGCCATGCCCAAGTGCACGGCCCACACCACCTTGGCACCAAGCTTGTTGTGCCGAAGATGCTTAGGCACGAGCGCCATGCACATGCACCCGAACACCCGAAGCATATCCACCTTTGGCTTCCTTCCTAGCCACTCCACATAGGGCACCCATTTGTCTGCTCCCACATGAGTCAAGGCTCTGTTCTTGGCCACACACGCGCTCCGCACCGCATCAGGCCAGAAATAGTCGGGTAGCCCAGCTTCAATGAGCAACCCGCGTGCCGCCTCCGTGATTGTGCGGTTCGCTCGCTCGGCGATGCCGTTCATTGCAGGGGAGTATGGCATGGTGAGGGAGTGCCGAATACCATTCTTCTTCAGCCACAACCCAAACTCCTTGCTCAGGAACTCTCCCCCTCGATCGGTGCGGATTGACTTGACTAGACGGTCTTGTTGCCGCTCCACCATTGGGAACCAATCCGTCTTCAACGTTTCAGCCACGTCGCTCTTCTTGGCCAGCACGTACACCCAAGTCATGCGGGTGTAGACGTCGACAATGGTGAGAAAATACTCAGCTCCAGCAGCTCCAAGCTTCAGGGGGCCCACCACGTCCATCACCACCTCATCAAGTGGTGCCTTAGCCGTTGCCTCCGAACTAGAGAATGGGAAACGGGTGAACTTGGCTTGAATGCACGTCGGGCAGCCAAGCACCTCATCGGGCTCCCCCTTCACACGTATGCCAGCAACCATCTCATTCTTCACTAGCTGCTGCAAGATGGGCAGGGCCACATGCCCCATGCGCCGATGCAAGGTGAGCCAATCACACTCCCCCGTAGCCGAAGTTGGATTGGAGAATGCCGCGCTCGCAATAGCGCCCCACATACTCTCTCCGTAGTCCTCCTCCGCTGCTGCCTCTGGGTTCTCCTCACCCTTTTGCTGCTCCTTGGTTGCTGCACCACTCTCCTTAGGTTCACTGAACTTGCTGGTCCCTCCAGGTTTTCTCTTCTTGAGCTCATTCTCCTTAGCGCGACCGTTCGCGCCATCGTCGCTACCGACCGCTCCATCCTTGGTGCTGATGCTTGCTGCCACTTGCCTCTCCTTAGGCATAGGGACCACTGGGATCTGCCACATCTCGTTGTAGATATCCCTGTCCTCATGAAGGTCCCAAATAATTCGATCGCCAAGCCTTGCGGTGTAGGTCTTGGCTCCCTTCGAGTTCGTGTCCATGCCGGCCTTTGCCAACCGCCGCACGGAAATCAGGTTTGCAGCAAGGCTGGGCACCCAAAGCACGTTCTTGAGGCCCACCATCTTCCCATCAGCACCCTTGAACATGGCCTTGCCCATGCCTTTCACCTCTGCTCGCTGCCCCAAAGCCGATGTGACATGCTTCACCGGTGACGGCTCGAGTTCGGTGAGCAAGTCCGGGCGAGGTGTCATGCTATAGGTAGCGCCACTATCAATCACCCAATAGTCCAGAGGGTGTAGGGTCACCTTCCCCACAGCTGCTGGCTCCTCAAAGCCTTCATCCTTCTCTGGACCAGCCGGTACTTGCGTCGACACGAAGTAGAATAGACACGGGTATCGATCGTCGCTCGGGTCCTTGTCGTTGTCTCCGCTCTTCATGTTTGCAGCTCCGCCACCGCGACCGCCACGGCCTCCACGGCCTCGTCCTCTCCCTCCTCCTGCTCCTCTACCCTCTTGGCCTTGAGAAGGGGTCCAACCATCAGGGAGTTTGTAGCAGTCGCGCCACATGTGTCCGCTCTTGTGGCAATAGTGACACTCGCCGTCGAATCGGCCGCGACCGCGTCCGTAGCTCTTGTCGTCGCTGCCGTAACCGCCACTCCTGCGGCCTCCGCCGAAGTTGCTGCCACCAAACCTTCCTCCCCCTCGTCCTCTGCCTCTTCCTCGACCATATCCACGGCCGATGCTCGCTGCCCCAGCGCCATCCGCACTCGCCAACTCACGGCGGCGGAAATCCTCTTGAAGGATAGCTCGCTTCACGTCTTCAAGCGAGAGGCGGGGCAAGTCGCGATTAAGGTTGATGATGAGCGAGGACCATGACTCTGGGAGTAAGGCCAGCAACTTGGTCTTCTTTTGGAGCTCACTGTAGTTCAAATCAGCTCCCTCAAGCCGCGTCAACAAGTCGAAGAATTTCTGCACCCCTTCTTCAACCGCTTCGTTTTCTTCAATTCGTAGTGCCGCCATTTGCCGTTCCAACACCACCGCTACCGCCGCTGTTGCAGGAGCATGTACACCCTTGAGAGCAGCCCATGCCTTTGGTCCTTTCTCTGGTTCACGCTGGAATGGCTTGATGTGACGGATCTGACTGCTCCCCAACGCTTGCCCAAGTAAGAGATAGCCTTGTGCGCTCTTCCGCACCCACGGGCTCTTCTCCGGGTCGTTCTCGGGGCGCTTCTCCGTTCCTTCCATCACCTCCAGCAGGTCATAGTGGTCAAAGATGTTCTCCATCTTGAAGGACCATTCAGCAAAGTTGTCACCGTTGAACTTGTCAAGCCCAAACACCCTAGGCTCATCCCTAGGTGGGCCAAGACTTGGTTGCATGGGCGCCATGGCTGAATCACGGGGTTGGCCTTGAGCTTGAGCTTCTCCACTGCCACCAGCACCTCTGCCACCCCTTTCCTCAGGTCCAGACATTGTCGAAACTGCTCCAAGGGGCTCTGATACCACTTGTTATAGTCACAATAGGCTTGAATGTGCCTAAAACGAAAGATAGAGAGCACAGACGGATTTCTGCACAGCGGCTTCAAACGTTGATAGCGTTCTGCTCACAGCTGCAAATGACTTGATTCAAATTGGATCTGGAGCGTCTTCACGTCGTCTACAATTATCAATTTAGATTGCACGATTTGATAAAGAATTGACGACACAGCGTCGGTTTGAACGAACGGTACTATGGCAGCCACTATAGTCTTAGAACACAAGATAGGAAGAGTTACGAGTTGGGAATGACTCCCAGCTCCTACAAACCCCAAGAGCCGAGGTACAGTGATGTGGAACAGTGCCACACTGTCCCCAACCACGAAGGGTCTCGAAACTACCCTTCACTAGGGCCTACACCAAGTGAAATGTTACACTACACAAAGTAATGTAACTATCTTCAATATCTTGAGGTGTACCCTTTTGGCGAGCTTCGAAATCACTTGAGGCTTGACACCAAGGCTCGGGCTCTTCATCACAAACTCATCCTTGAGTTCTTGATGGGTCTGCTGCACACACCTGCGACACGCCGAACGTTCGACACATGACAAAATAGAAACCGCGCACGACAAAATAGAAACCGCGCGCGAGACACAAACGACCGCGTAACACGCGTCTAGCGATAACTCGCTATTGACTCGACACACACACTCGACATCATGACTCAACATTCACACACAATTATAAGCATGAAATATACATTATCCCATGCCCTCATACCATTCCATACACACACACATTCACGCACACGGACAACAAGCTGAGTGCAAACCGTAGGGTTGCACCAACAGGGGCGGCGCGAACGGGCCGCAGAGGCGGCGCGCGGGCTCCAGGGACGACGCGCGGGCTGCAGGGGCCGCGCGGACGGGCTGCAGAGGCGGCGTGCGGGCTCCAGGGGCGACGCGCGGGCTGCAAGAGCCGCGCGGACGGGCTGCAGAGGCGACGCGCGGCTGCAGGGGCAGCGTGAACGGGCTGCAGGGGTTGCGTGAACGGGCTGCAGGGGCGACGTACGGGCTGCAGGAGCGACGTACGGGCTGCAGGAGCGACGTACGGGCTGCAGGGCCAGCGTGAACGGGCTGCAGGGGCGACGTACGGGCTGTAGGAGCGACGTACGGGCTGCAGGGGCAGCGCGCGGGCCACAGGGGCAGGCACGGCTGTAGGGGCAGCACGGTTGCAGGGGCGAGCACGGCTGCAGGGGCAGCGCGGTCGCAGGGGCAGCGCACGGGCTGCAAGGGTCGCAACAGTGAGAGCTAGGGGCGCCAGCGCGCTGGCTACTGTGTAGGGCGTGGCGCTACCACTAGGCGGAACGGTGGGCCCATGTAGGAACGCTTCCTACTCTGATAACATGTCAAGAATAGAACTAGGAGTGAATGATTGAACTAGGCAAGAGGTGAGTACAAGTAGGGGAAAGCTAACCCTAAAGTGTTGTACTCACTAAGGAGTGACCCTACTGTAGCCTAGAGATACAATTGCAATTTGACATTTGTGTGGTGTCCTTGAGATCCAACCTGAGCTTGTTTTGCTTCTTGCTGACTGGTCTTGTGACCGTTTGTTCACCTTGCTTGTTCTAGTGCCCCTCACTTAGCCTATGTTGATATTTGTGATAGGCTGTAGCGAGTTGCTCCTTAGAGAGTATAACACAGTTAGGGTTGCCTATTTGTATTGCCTTGTTTCCTAAACTCACCATTCCGTTGCATTCTACTCTTGAGAACTTCATCGTGCAACGGCGGTCCCGTGAGATACGGTAGTTGTAGTGCTAAATGGCCAGATTTATGCTATGTTAAGTTCCGTTATAAGTCAACTCGTTTGCGTGTTGTACTCACTGACACAGGATACTTCTACGGAAAAACACGTATTATACTACACAAAAAGGCTGATCTTTAGTGCCGTACATCTTGAACAGGATGTACAAGAAAAATCCGTATGATTTGCATATAAGATCTCATCCGCAAGTCCATTTTATATTTACCCGAATCATCCAGACATGACAGCGTCTTGCTCATTAAACAAAAACTGCTCGCCATACTCCACAAGAAACTGCGTCGACCGTTTCACGTCCGCAAAGAGAGTGTACACCCTGCTCACATCCTCCACTTCCACCACCACCCCCCCTCCCCCTCCGCTGCCCCCTTTTCGTCTCCTAGTGGCCGCCAGATGAGCCGAGGTGATAAGGTGGATGGCGTATCGGAGGGAAGTCTCGACGCCGATTTTGGAGAGCAGGTCGAGGGCGTCAGGGGATGTGTCTACTGCCTCCTCTAGGCATCGGATTTTTATAATCTCTTTGATCTCCTCTTCTTTGTAAGGCTGAGGGAGAAGGGAACGAGGGGCGAGGAGAGGGCAAAGGGAGAGCAGGTCGAGGGCGTCAGGGGAAGTGTCTACTGCCTCCTGTAGGCATTGTATCTTGATTATCTCCTTAAATCATTCTTCCTCGTATGGGTGAGGAATGAATGGTAAGGATAGGTGTGGATGGGGCGGGGAGGGGAAGGACGGGAGGAAGGGAAGAGAGGGGGATTGGGGGTCATGTGATGTGTCTACCGCCTCCTCTAAGCATCTGATCTTGATTATTTCCTTCACCTCCTCCTCCCTGTGCGGCTGGGGGAGGCGGGAGGTGAAGAAGTGAGGCGGGAACAGGAAGGAATTGAGGATTTCAGGGAGTCAGGGGGCGTGTCTACTGTCTCTTCCAGGCAACCAATCATGATGATCTCCTTTGTCTCCTCCTCCTTGTGTGGCTGGGAAGCAAGGAGGGGAAAAGTGAGGGGGGGAAAGGAAGGAAGGAGGAGCAGAGGGCGTGAGGGGACGAGTCTGCTGTCACCTCCAGGCATCTTATCTTGATGATCTGCTCTTCCTTGTACGGCTGAGGGAGGAGGGAAGGAGGGGCACAAAGCGTCAGGAGACGTGTCTACTGACTCCAAATATTAGAGTATACCTTGTATGGCTGGGATGGGCCGGGTGGGGAAGAAGGAGGTTTCAGAGTGCTGATATGAGAAAGCTTCTGAACTGTTGCAAGAGGCGAGGGAAGGTGGAAGAAAGGAAGCAGCAACAGAGGGAACTGGAAGTGCGCCTACTTGGCTTACTACAACCTGGTTTACACTCAGCTTGATAAGTGAGACAAAGTGATCAGTACGAACGATTCATACTGAACTCAAAGCGTCTGACAACCTTAAATACTTCCAAATACTGAGCTCCTTAGGCTTATCTTACACTCGATTCTCAACATCGGATTTAAAAAATCGTTTCTCAAAATTGAGCATGCGGTCGAGGAAGTCAAGCAGAATGCCATGTGGCGCCTCAAGAAGAGTGCAGGCGCAATATAAGCACGTGCCTCACCTTTGCCCACACGAGTATTCCACCATCTTGCCTCACCTCTGTGCTGCTGCTGATGAGCAAGCGATCACGGAAATCCATCGGAACGCCATGTGGTGGCACCTTACGAGAGCAAACACAATGGTAGTACAGCACACACACGTACAAGATTATTCCACCAGCTCAGCTCACCTCTGTGCTGATGATAAGCAGGCGGTCGAGAAAATCCAGCGGAATGCCATGTGGCGCCTTGTAGTTGGTTCCTCGGATCGTGGTGATGCCCCGATTGGTCGCCACGACCAGTATGGGCGCCATTTCGTTTTCCAGGGCTCTGTTGAGGAAGGAGAAGCACTCGATGTCCAGCATGTGCACCTGGATGGAGGGGGGTGGAGAGCGGTGGAGAAGGTTGGAGACGGGTGGGGAGCAGTGGAGAGGGGTGGAGAGGGTTGAAGAGGGGTAAAGGTAGGAGGATTGGTTGGCGACCACCACCACGACCAGTATGGGCGCCATCTCGTTCTAGAGAGCGCGGTCAAGGTAGGAGCAGCACTCAGTGTCCAGCTTGTGCACCTGGATGGAGAGGGATGGAGCAGGGTTGCAAGGGGTGGTGAGGGGTGGAGCAAGGTGGGTGGCAAGGGGTGGAGAGGGGTGGAAAGGGGTGTAGAGGGGTGGAGGTTGGAGAATTGGTTGGTGGCGACCACCACGACCAGTATGGGCGCCATCTCGTGTTCCAGGGCTCTGTTGAGGAAGGAGAAGCACTCGATGTCCAGCATGTGCACCTGGGTAGAAAGGGCTGGAGAGCGGTGGAGATAGGCCAAGACAGGTGGGGTTCTCTCCACTTTCGCACCTCCTGCACCTGCTGACCAGCCCGGACCTTGCAAGGCTCACAATGCACTACCTCCTGTCCTCCTCAGTGGGACAATTCTGGGTTATTCTCTCCTCGTGGGACCACTTCCGCCTTGCCCTCCTCTCTCCACTTGTGCCCATGTGCCTGTGACCGCTTGTCTCCTGCACCTCAGAATTCGTGCGAACAGAGTCACAGACTACCAACCAACGCCCACACCGACAGATACGCCCAAGCCTCGCCTCGTCAATGAACAGCGATACACGAATGTGAGGTCCCACGGGTCCTCACTCAGTGCAACCAAGCCTCACCTCGTCCAAGAACAGCACGCCAGGGACAATCTCCGCCTTGCCCTCTTCTTTCCACTTGTGCCCATGCGCCTGTGAGCCCTTGTCTCCCTCTCCCCCTGCCCCTTCACCAGTCTCACCAGTGCATCCAATCCAAGTCTCACCTCATCAATGAACAGCACGCCAGGCACGATTTCCGCCTTGCCCTCCTCTCCTTACTTTTGCACCTTCGTATCAATAGATCCCTTGAGTTACACCCAAGTATCACGCCCTGTTACACCGCCTGGTTACCAACAGCGCCCACACTGACTGAGACACACAAATCTCACCTCGTCAATAAACAGCACCCCCGGTACAATCTCCGCCTTGCCCTCCTCCCGCCACTCCTGCACCTTGCTGTCGATCTGCTCCCGCACCTCCGCCCGGATCTCCCCCGTATCCCCCGTGAACAGCGCCAGGAACCCCTGCGTGCGGCTGTTGATCACATCCACCTCGTGCAGCGACACCACGTGCACCACCTCCTTGCGCCGCTGCAACTCCCCATCCGGGCACTGAACAAACCGCGTCGCCGGCCCCGCAGCATCGTACTCTCTCGACCGCGTGAAGCTCCTCCCGAGCTTGGTCACCCGCCCGGTAGCCTTGTCGATGGCTATCACGTCGCCGCTTTGGACCTTTTCGCGCACGAGAGAGTCGATCATCTTCACTCCCAGCTCGTAGATTGTTTCCATGTCGGTCGTCTTGAGCGTGAGCTTTCCCGTTTTGGCCGCGGCTCCGGCCGTGGCTGGTCGGTCGATTTGGATTTCGACTACCTCCCCTTCGATGATTTCCGTCTCCTCTTTGATCCTCACACCTATTGCCTTGCGAAACGCCTGGTGTTTTGGGAAATAGACAGGGGCATGAGAGGACAGGGTGAGGGTGAGGGAGAGAGTGCGGGTGAGGCGGTGGCAAAGCAGTCGATTTATATTTCCACCCCCTCGCCTTCGCTTATCTCGATTTCCTCCTTGATCCGCACACCAATTGCCTTGCGAAACGCCTGAGCTGGGGGAGAAATTGGAGTTAGGAGGAAAGGAGTGCGATGGAGGAAAGAGGCAGGGAGGGAGAGGGGGAAGAGAGATGAACCGTCAGCCGATCTTATTCCCCACCACTTTGCCTTCAAATTCGCACACCAGTTTCTTTGCGAAACGCCTGTCAGGGAAAAAGACTGGAGCAGGAGAGGGAGAGGAGGGTGGTGGACGGGCGGTCGATTCGGATCTCCAAGCTTTATCGCACGGCAATGGCCTTGCGATGTTGGTAGTTGTGAAGGTGGGCTTCAGGGTTTTGAGAGAGTATGGTGGAAGAGAGGGACCAGAAAGGAAGAACAATGGGGCACCGCGGGTCAAGCCCTCAGAGTTGATAGTGGGGGGGAGGGATCAGGGGTTTAGAAAGGGTCTGCGGTTTTGGGGAGTGCGGATGAGAAGGGGTTAAAGGAGGGATGGAGGGGGTTTGAGGGGAGGATTGCGTCAAGGTGAGATGCGCATCCGACGGCGAAGGGAACGCAGATGGACGGATACAGCAAAGGAAATAGCCCTTGTTAAAGGCCAATGCAGCCTCATTCCTGATCACGCCCCTATGCCTCGTCTATGCTAGCGGGGAGATGCGCGGGGGGCGGGTGGAGGGGAAATGCGCATCAGATGGCGCAGGGAATGCGGAGGGACACGAATCGCGAGGAGATCATCCTCGTTAAAGGCCGATCCGCTCCTAGCACAGCTCTTTTGTGTTCAGCACCCCAGAACCCGCACCTTCCTCCTCCCCTTCACATTTTTCTTCCCATCCCCCACACCTTTCCCCAACCCCCCCCTCCTGTCCCCATCCCCCTCGTCCCCCGGTCCCCCCGCAAAGAGCGAAAGCGCTCGGGCTAGCGAGCACCTGGGTGAGCGCTTCGGTCTTCGACATCTCGAGCGAAAATATTTCGCTGCCCGCCATCATCGCGAAAGGCGTCTCCTCGCCGAGCGCTTTCGCCATCCCCATCGCGATCGCCGTTTTCCCAGATCCGGGCTGCCCGGCTAACAAAATTCCCTGGCCTGCAATTTTTCCTTCCTTGATCATCGCCAGGATAATTCCAGCTGCCCGACGAGCCTTTTCCTGCCCGACCATCCCCTGCGACACGCCCCGCGCTTCTAATGTGTCGTCTAACCCCAGCCCGCGAATGTGCGAGTGCGCGCCAATTCGCTCGACGCGCGTTAGGTCTTTAATCTCTGATACTTTCACCTCCGCCATGGCGCGAGCTAACTGGATAGCGGCTCAGATGGTAAAAAGAGCTAAAGGCTAGTGGAAATTGGAGCGCAGCGGGACAGCAGACTGTAAACCGCCGAAAGTCTCGACCTAAGGACGCAGACACTCCCACCACGCGGATCGTGGGTTTAAAACGGTTTATTCTGTAGCAGCAGCAGATTTCACAATCAATGATCAATATTGCACAATCAATCGTCGAAATCACAAATCTGGTTGTACTCTCGAAACGAAACCTCAACAGTTTCTAATTTCGCCAAGAAATGTGAAACTTAAGTGATGCTTTCTATTACCGTAAGCCCCCGGATAGAAGCGCAGGCCTCGGATAAGCGCCGGCGCTTATAAAAGGATGACGGCGCTTATATCCGGTCCTCGATTATAAGCCCACCCCCTGAAAAAAGATGATTTATTATAAGCGCATATTGGTTTTTCATTTGAAAACCTGTCGAAACACAGAAACGAATTTCACATTATCAGGGAAACGAACTACAAATTCGATTTCCCACACTCTGATCTCACTTTTTGCGCGTCTAGTCAGCATGTGCTGTCATTCTGTCAGTATGAGTTGGCAAGGAATCACTCACTGCCAAGCTGCGCGAGAATCAGATTCGCGGCCCTATATGTTTTCGATTCGATTACAATCGGCAGAACGGGATCTACAGTTTCGTGTAAAACAAATAGAAATTCATATTTGCCATTTTATAAACGCCGGCGCTTATAAATTTCCTCAATTATAAGCGCACCCCCTAAAAAACATTGTTTTTTTTATATCCCCAGGGGCGCTTCTATCCGGGGCTAACGGTATGAGTGCAATTGAGTGAGCGAACTAAGATTGCACTATCGGAGCAGAACAATACGGTGAGGCATGGGCTAATGTTAAATACGGAACTCGCATGGTAATGTGTCAGAATCCCAGCCACTAACAACTGGGATAAAAGGGCTTGTTTACATAGCGGGTGAGTGCGCCCATAACCCCCCAGGCCGCCGTGCCTGTAACCCTTCCCTAGGATCGATCGGGGATCACCAGTGGACCTTTGACACCCCCCCGTACTAGGGTGCCCGAAGTGCACACACCGGGATTCGAACCCGAGACCTTCGCTCTGATACCATGTCAGAATCTCAGCCACTAACCACTGGGATAAAAGGGCTTGTTTACATAGCGGGTGAGTGCGCCCATAACCCCCCAGGCCGCCGTGCCTGTAACCCTTCCCTAGGATCGATCGGAGATCACTAGTGGACCTCTGACATAATGGTAACGAGCGAAAAAAGGGGGGTTCGCGACGGGCCTGGCACCAAGTTTGGGAATTGTCGAGGCGGAGGACCGGATCACATATTATCAGCCAGGCCCCAAAATATCAGGGCAAAATCCCCTGATTGCCCTAACCGGCGGCCGTTTTTTTTTTTTACCCTGACCGAGTCAGCCCCCCAGATTTCTTACCCTAACTCAAAAAGTGTACCGTATGATTTTTTTTTACCCTTATAAAAAACCGAGATAGCGATTGTTTCCCTGACTTCATTGGTGTTTTAACTCAGTTCCCCTGATACCAAAACTTGCGTAGCGAGGATACGGTGAATGTTGTGCAAAATAGCGCTAGCGAGTTCGCTACAATAATTTTCCCGACAAGAGCATCGAGCCCACGTCATTTTTTATCGCACCAACACGTCTAACTGAAGCACTTTGTTGTGTCAATGTACAATCTTACTTGTAGGCTATAGTGGGGCACTCCTTAAAGGGTACAGCACTTCTAGGGTTAGTACTTGTACCCCAACTCTTGCTAATCCAATCATTCCTGCACAGTTATTCTAACATGGTATCAGAGCAGGAAACCTGTTACGTTTCTAGGGCCCACCGATCGTTTTGCTAAGTTCCTGCCCGAAGCGCCCTTGCGTTGTCCGGCCCTCCCTGCAGCTACTCGCACTACCTGCCCTAGCGCGCTGCCTTACTGTCACGCGCGCCCCTGCTGCCCGAGAGCAGCCCCTGCCCCGCGCGCCCCTGCTGCCCGCGTGCAGCCCCTGCCCCGCGCGCCCCTGCTGCTTGCGAGCAACCCCTGCCCCGCGCGCCACTGCTGCCTGCGAGCAGCCCCTGCCCCGCGCGCCACTACTGCCTTGCGCGTCGCGCCCTGCTGCAGCCCGCGCGTCGCGCTCTGCTGCTCCGCGCGTCGCGCCCTGCTGCTCCGCGCGTCGCGCCTTGCTGCAGCCCGCACGTCGCGCCCTTCTGCAGCCCGCGCGTCGCGCTCGGCTGCTCCGCGCGTCGCACCCTACTGCAGCCCGCGCGTTGCGCTCTGCTGCCCCGCGCGTCGCGCCCTGCTGCCCCGCGCGTCGCGCCCTGCTGCAGCCCGCGCGTCGCGCCCTGCTGCCCTGCACAGCGCGCGCCCTGCTGCCCGAGCCGCCCAGGCCGAGCCGCGCCGCCCAGCCTGAGCCGCCCTGCCCAACCCGAGCCGCCCTGCTGCTCGTGCTACTGCTGCTGCTGGTGGAGGTGCTACTGGGAGTGCTGGAGGTGCCGCCGCCCAGCCCCACCGAGCCGCTCTGCTGCTACTACTACTGCTGCTGCTACTCGTGCTACTGCTGCTGCTGATGGAGGTGCTGCTGGGAGTGCTGGAGGTGCTGCTGGTGCTGGAGGTGCGACTGGGAGTGCTGGAGGTGCTGCTGGTGCTGGAGGTGCTGGACCTACTACTGGCCGTCACTGCCTGTCATGGCCACTATCACGACAGTTGCAGCAGCTAGGGGTGGACAGCCGCGGTCACTGCCTCTCCCGGACGACCCCACCCCTCAGCAGCTTCGCGAGTGGGTTCTTCAGCGAGCCCGTCCAGGTGGTGGAGGATTTGGTTTTCTGCGTACTGCGCAGAGGCGGCAGCAGAGTCAGCAGGAGACCTTCTCCCCGCAGGTGCTTAGTGAGTTGGTTCCACAGCGATGTGTTGCTGGTTCTGTCGAGGCTGCTGCACTAGGTGCTAGTGAGTCTGCTGCCGCACTAGGTGCTAGTGAGTCTGCTGTTGCTCCAGGTGCTAGTGAGACTGCTGGAGCTTTAGGTGCTCGTGCGTCTCCCGCCACAGGTCCTGCCTCAGCTGAGGCCTTGCACACTTCACACTTGACTCAGGCGCGTCACGTTGCTTCTTTCGTGACTGCACCACACTCACATCACTTGCTGCACCGGTACCAGTCTCACTGGCTGACCCCACTGGGGGCCCAGTAGTCGCACGAGCCTCCACTGTCCTCCCGTGTCCAGCAGTCCCCTCCGGTTCTCTATCAGGTCTCCACCTCCCCACGTTCTCGACGAACTTGGGGAGCAACGCTACCATTCAGGATGTCTGGGTTGATACCTTTACTCCTGGAGGGCAGCGTGTGGCGATCTGTACGTGCTCCCGGACTGGCCGTCACCTTGATACGTTCACTCGACGACCTGCGTCTAGTCTGTACGCACTGACCACTACGTCTGCACTTGTGGCCGAGGCATGTCAGGTGGTTGCGTCGAGTCAGGTGTGTGCGTCTGGTCAGCTTGCAGCGTCTTGCTCGTGTCGGGTACTCTCTCACCAGACTCCCCTCTGGCACCACCGTCTCGGTCACCCCTCCCTGCTGCGTCTCCGCAGCATGCACCCCCGTCTCCTTGCCTCTGGCCTTCCCAAGTCCCTGCCCTCCCTCCCGCGCTCGCCTGCCCCGCCGTGCCTTCCCTGTGTAGAGGGGTGGGAGTGCGCCGCTCCTCACTCCTCCGAGTTTCCTCCGACCACTGCTCCTCTGCAGACTCTCCACATGGACGTTTGGGGCCCGGCCCCCGTCGGTGGAACGGACCAGGAGCGCTACTTCCTGCTGGTTGTTGATGACTACACACGTTACACCACTGTCTTCCCCTTGCGGCGCAAGGCGGACGCCAGCGGTGTTTTGATCCCCTGAATCCGTGCTTCTCGACGCCAGCTACGCGAGCGGTTTCGTCGGGACTTCCCAGTCCTGCGTCTGCACTCTGACAGGGGCGATGAGTCTTCTTCTGACCTCCTTGCGGAGTTCTGTCGAGATGGGGGCATCCACCAGTCATTCACGCTTCCTGCCTCTCCTCAGCAAAATGGGATTGCTGAGCGTCGTACCTCCATGATCCATGCGGCTGCTCCCCATTTTCTGTGGCCTTTTGCGGTCTGATACGCTGCGCATCAGCTCAACCTCTAGCCCCGTGTCTCTGAGCCAGAGACCTCGCCCACACTCTGGTGGACGGGGAAGGTTGGCGATGCGTTCTGGTGCGCGCTCTCCCTTGTTCGCGATGCCAAAGCGAGCAAGCTCTCCTCTCGCACTCTCCACTGTGTCTTCCTGGGCTTCCCTACCGACGCCCCGCCGTGGCAGTTCTACCACCCGCGCTCGCGTCTTGTCTTCTCCTCCCTGGACGTCAGCTTTGACGAGTCTGTCTATTTCTACAGGCTACACCCGCACGTGTCCAACCCGGTCCCCCTAGCGCCTCTTTTCTTGGTACCAGCCCCCCCCTCCGGTGACAGATTTTGGCAACAAGTGGTATATGAGCTGGTGGTCAACTTTGAGGCGAGGAATCGTCTATGATTCTTCTTGATCAGTGAGACCTGTTTCTTGTAGCTCTACTCACATTTGCTCGATTGGTGGTTGAAACGCGTTCTAATTAGAAGTGTGCTAATTCGTGGTGGTGATTTTCATAAAAGCGAAATTTCTGTCAG